ATGAGAGCCTTGGGGGACGCCTGAAGTGACTTGAATTGGGCTCGATTTCTTTCCGTTGAATTTAATTATTTGTTGGCGGTTAGTTAAATATGATTCAAGCCATTTCAGGAGCCCTGACTTAATTCCAATTTTTTGCAGTTTAAAGAGTAACATTGGTATGTCAATGCGGTCAAATGCCTTGCTAAAGTCTGTATAGAGAGCTTCTACGTGGTTTCCATTATCCATTCCATTCAATGAATAGTCTATAAATTCAAGTAAGTTGGTCGAGGTCGAACGACCCTTGAAAAAGCCGTGTTGCATGTCAGTAATTCTATTTTTGATTTGGAGAAATAATTTTTCGTTGATAATTGACTCGAAAAGCTTAGGAATGCAAGAGATAATGGCTATACCACGATAATTACGTACGTCAGATTTTCGACCAGATTTAAAGATAGGTACTAGAAATGAGCTTTTCCAAATTTTAGGGAAGGTTCCGGATTCCAGGGACATATTAAAAAGGCAAAACAATGGAGCAGTGAGTTCCATTGCTAGACATTTAATAAATACTGGAGGAATTCCGTCAGGTCCAGGACCTTTTGAGGCATCTAAATTTTTTAAAGCCTGCAAAATGTCCTGCACTTGAAGTTGATTGAGACCAATGTCCCTTGAAAATTCTGGATAAAATGCAAAATAATCGCGGTCACGATCTTCTTCAGAAAATGTCGTATAAATTCCTTGAAACATTTTTGCGAATAGATTACAGTTTTTTTCCGAACTATCACCGACATTTTCGTCTAGATGCATTATTGAAGGAAAATTGTCAGATTTTAATTTCGTTTTTACGTAATTAAAGAAGTTCTTCGGACATGACTTTATTTCACGTTCAGTTTTTGCATTATATTCTTCAAATGCAGTACTGATAGCTAAATTCAGTTGATCGCATAGATCCAAATAAATTAATAAATTATTACTACTATTGTGTTTTTTATAAATTTTATGTGCTTTTTGCTTCCGATTTTTCAAGTTTTTTATTTGTCTGTTAAACCAGACTGGATTTTGTGTGTTTCTGTTACGTCTTTTTTTCTTCAAAGGTATTTCTTCCGAAATTATTTCTGTTAAAATTTTGTAGAACACGTCTATACCAATTTCGACATTTCCTACATTCATTTTTCCACAGTGGATTTAATGATTCGGTCACACAGAAATCTTCATAAATATTCGTTAGTAAAAAGTCCAAATAGCAATTTTGTTGGTTTTTGATGTGGTTAATTTGGTTCAGTCCTAAATTAGCAGTTTTGTCAAAAATGAACTGCAATGTTTCATTATCCCCAACGACTGGGAGTAAGATACATTCATTTTCAGAGTCCAGAATGAAGTCAGCATGGCGTTGATTAAAGTCTCCATAGATGTGAACTTTAACCTCAGGAGGAAGGTCAGATAGAATTTGTTCAGCACTTTGGAAGAAGGCTTCATAAGTGCTTTTATGAGCATGGTCTGGTGGAAAATACACTGAAGCGAACACGTGCGTTTCACCGGCTATGTGTGATTTCACCCAAATATGCTCAAATTCTGTAAATTTTGGTGTAAAGATAATTTCTGAGTTAAAATTGGCCGAAAGAGCTATAAGAACTCCACCACCTGACTTCTTTTCACTAGATTCATCAGAACTGATTATAATACTTAAATTAAATAATAATATTTTGAAGCCTCTGAATTTAATAAATTCTGGATCTATAAAGTTCAATGTGTGAATGAAAATACTTAAGGATATAAAATATTTTTATTTTAAAATGCATTCTTAATAAGAAAATATAGAAAGAAATAAGATTCCCTGAGACTTCCAGCTATTTTCCGGAAAAATAGGATTCCCTGAGAACTCCCGGTTTTTCAGGTTTTTCCAAGTTGTAGAAGCTTGAAGGTTTAGTCATAAACTTTCTATTGAATCTTTCGCTTTAAAGGTTCCCATCGTACATATTTAAGTGTTTATGAGAATCTAATTGAATAAGTCTAAAACATCAAACATTTATTTTGTATGCCATCAGAACTACTATTTTTTCTAACCCTAGGTCACTTTTTTACAACTATAAGTCACTATTTGGTCACTTATTTCTTCAACATGGTCACTAAAATCACTATTTTTGACAGGATTGATCACTACCAGCCCTGCTCCATGTCTGTCTTTTTCATCGGTATGTCGCTTGGTTCGAGATCAAGAGCACATTGCTTTACAAACCTTGTGTTCCCAATCCATACCCTGCCATCCATTTGTTACAATTTGTTACTCCTAACCTCGAGATAGCCGCGAGTAATCGGCCCCCGCTTTACTAACGTTAGTTTTAAGTAATTTTGTGATAATTGTTTAATGACTACCGGCTCCGCAAAGCTACGGTAAATGAGCCTGGAAAAATTTAAAAAATAATTGTAATAGATTATGAGTTTTCTTTTTTTAATTGATACTTATATCGAGGATTGTCATTGAAAACAAGAAAGCACGTCAATTTGTTTTGCTTGACAGCATCGGTTTCAACATTGTTTTTTTTTTAAATATAACAATCAGGTTACACAAATAAGATATTGAGCAACGCGAGTTATTCAGAGTTACTCAAAATTAACTCCGACTTTACTCATGATCGAAAGCTGTCTTATCCCTAGGAGGGGAGGGACTTGAGAGTGTTGTACACGGTAAGAAAAAAGTACCCAAAAGTAAGTTCTTTTCACTCATCTCGGCACTTTAGTGCAGGAACCCAAAAGTAGGTAAAGCGGGTCAAAGTAGTTTTCATTTACTTGTGTGCAATTCGTATGGAATTTTCCACTCGCTTTCTACCCAAAAGTAAGTTAGTTGTACCCAAAGGTAGGTAAATATGACTATACTCAACGTTGGGTTCCCACACTTTACTACCCCTGTTGGGTGGTTTTGCTCCTCCGTTTTTGACAACATTAGAAGGAGGAAAGGAGACAAACCAGTCAAAAGTAGGTAAAAGTGAACTAGCCGTTGGGTACTTTTTTCTAACCGTGTAGTGAAAATCTATGGAAAATGCAAAACATACCACTGTCAAACTCATTTTGATAGATCGTTTTCCATACACATATTTTCCATCCGAGGAATTTTACATGGCGAAGAGCCCATTAATGTTTGTTTCTGTATCTAAATAACAATAATATAATAAATGTACACATTCTGGCACGACTACTGTCTTACCTGACTCAACGAAAATTTATGTATATATATACCTATGTATTTATATTTACAACAATTCAATGAAAAACGTACTACCGAAAAAAAAAAATTGTTCCCATTTCGTTCAAACCTTGTATATTTGTTTTTAATTGATAAATTTTAGACCCTTAGGGTGCCGCTTTTTGAGTTAGGGTGGTCCAAATTATTCAGTAAATGAAAGGTACAGTGAACTTTGTTCAACTGACTTGTGATATTCAAGGGACCATCGAGTTATAGAATTATCGAGTTATAGAATAACAATCCAAACAAAATCGCTATCACAGTAGCCATGAAATTATTTTTTACCATGATTCTATAACTCGATATCGAGTAAGTGGACATCGAGTTGTGGAGAGTTGGCTGTATTGAAAAGGGTTGTCTAAAAAAATATAAAACTGAAGGTCAAATAAGTTTAATTATTCTAAAATATTTTTTTTTTTGTTTTCAAAGTGCCGAGACCAAAGAAACCCTTTATATTATATTTGGAAAGCTTATACTTAATACTTAATAATACTACTTAATACTTAAACTAAACATATAAAAATCCCGGAAAATCTATAAGGAAGAGGAGACAATAGGGGGACTTTTATGAACCAATTTTCTGTCAAACGCGAACCAGCACCTGATTGGTCGGGCGAACGTATAGAAACGCGATAATATTTACAACAGGGAATCAATTTTCTTGTATTTTGACAGTCGACTGCGTCGCTCATAATGAAATAGTTTTTGCACGGTCGTTTCCGCGAGAAAAGAAGAACACGTCACAGACAAAAACAAGCCAGTTGTCTCCTCTTCCTCTTAGAGAAAAACAATATGCATTTTGGAAAAAAAAAACTTGTACGCTGCCAACTACCATAACGTTTGTTGTATGAAACATAAGCAGAGGATGTAATAAATCCAACCTTAAATTGGATGTAAGAGTAATTGTTATACGTATAGTGGTGTTAGTTATTTATTACCGACAGAAATACCGCTAAACGAGACCCAACTGCTAACCACGTGATTTTTAGGCGAAAAACTACATCTAAAGCTAATAATACAATTTTACAAGCCAACATAGCATCATATTGGATCAAAAAGTATAACGTCCCTTGAGTAGAGTTCACTGAAAGGTTAATTTCAATCGTTTGGTTGACCCTCAAAAACAGATCGTTGGTCTTTTGAAATGCCATTTACATAATCTGATATACCACCTCACTAAAAGTAAATTGGTGCGCCCCTCGGGACCCGCTAGCACGTCTCTATTGTTGGGAATCGTACATCTTTGACAGCGGTTTGATCAAAGTAGTCGATCGCGTTCAGAAATAACGTCAAAAGGAACAAAAAATATTGTGCACAAACACCTGGAAAATCTGGTGTGGTCCGGTTCCAAGCTGGATAAAGTGCTGAAGATGCCTAAAACAACAGTTTGTCGAGTGCTCAAAACCTACAAGGAAACCCTGAGTGTGGAAAGGAATCAGCGGACCTACGAAAAAACTGGAACTAGGGATCGTCAGCTGCGCAGCAAGGTGTTGAGGTGCGACAAAGCCAACTCCGGTCTTTCGATCCGAGATGTGGCCAAAAGGTACAACATCAACTTTCAAACGGTGCGGAACATCCTTGCCTGGCAAGTCTTACAAAGCCAGTCAACATCGGAACCGGCACATGAAGCAGAATTCCGTGGCCAAAAAGCGTGCAATGCTCTTGTACGACCGTGTTTTGACGAAACACAAGAGTGGCACTTTGATCGATGACGAAACATACGTCAAACTCGATTTTAAGCAGCTTCCCGGTCAAAAGTTTTACATCGCGACTGGACGTAAGGATGCGCCTGGAAGATTCAAGTTCGTGTTTGCCGACAAGTTCACGAAGAAGGCCATTATTTGGCAAGCTATTTGTAGTTGTGGCCTGAAAACGGAACCATTCGTCACATCCTCGACGATGACATCTCAAGTTGACATCGAAGTATGTCTGAAAAAGCGTGTATTGCCGTTCATCCGCAAGCATAGGGGCAAAGTCATCTTTTGGCCTGATTTTGTCCCCAAGCTAATGAATCCTCTAAATTGCCTGGAATTCCGACCAATCGAAAATACTGGGCAATTTCAAATCAGCGACTTCGACGATTCGGCGGGGCAGTCAAGAACATCCAGCAAATGCGGGCAAAATGGAAGAAATGCGCTGATTCCGTGTCCGTTTCCACTGTGTGGGCGCTGATGGGCTCCATCAAGAGGAAGGTTCGAGATTTCATTCGAACTGGAGAAATGTAACCATCTAATGCTGTAACTTTGAAGTTTTTATAAAATTAGTGTAAAGCAACCATTAATGGACTTTTTAAACTTATTGAATCACGAATTACAGGTCTTTTTGTGCGAACCAATTTAATTTGTGTCAGTCTTTATCCCAGTATACAAACCACAGGCACGTGCCACAAATCGTATTATGCCTATGCACGCCTCTGATGGAGTTGCATTCAGCTTGTTACATTTTAAGCGGAAAATAAAAAAAAATCAATCACAATACTATTTGACCTCATAAAGTAGCGAATTCAAGGAAGAAGATTCAACCGTCTATATCAAATTCCACTACAACAATCACATCGTACAGGTAATCTGACCACAAAAGCCACACAAAACGATTCAATTCCGATATATCAATCAATCCGAAAATTATGCCGCATCAATTCAGCAGCGTTCATCCTGTAAATTGCCGATCCAATGGTAGGCGTTCACCTACGGCTTGTAATTTAATTTCACATTCTGATTTCATTCCAGTTCACCACGGCTCTGAAGTGACCCAGTCTCATCAACCTCAGCAATCCCGGAGCAGTGCCACGTCTAGTCCCACCGAGGGCAGAAATCAAATATCCGTTCCTCAGAAGCGTGGAGGTAAACTAAGTTCCCATCACAAACAACGAACTCTTCATTCCTCCCCATCTTCATCTCGCATCATCTCCGCACGAGCGAACCCATTTCAACCCAATTACATTTCCAATAACAATCGATTCGCATTCTCACTGCTTGCTTACCGATTTCCAGTGAATCCGCTGCTGTACAACGATTTGGACTATTCGGGCAATTCCATCCCCCATGGGGGCTTGTGGGATGACATTAACGGACCTCCACTAGCATCATCGTCATCGGCCGGAAGACTACCCCTCGCTGCGCTTTTCCCCGATCCAGGCAGCGATAGCCAAATGAGAAATTATGACCTGTTGGCCAGTTTGCTTGGTCCACCGCCAGCGCAAACCTTCTACGGCGATCCGATTACACCATCCGTCAACTATCCCTACGTGTATGGCCTTGGCTATGGCGATAGAAGCAAACGGATGGCCAGTTCGAGCGAAAGAAACCCTCCGCAGTCGCTAAGGTAAGTGGCATGCTTGACACCTATTTACAACTACAATGACATTGTGTGGTGATGACCCAATATGAATCAGTTGGAACACGAGCATGTTAAAGTGAAACTGATCATATGAACTTACCAACGAAAGTTTTCCAGTGCATTGATTACAGTAGTGGTTTGTCCATCTAGGATCTGTGGTATGGATGTTACTGTTACAGAAGGAGATTTTATTCCTGTACGGTGTTCACGACCGGGTCCGCCCATCCCCTGAAGGAGGTATCTTATCACATCATATCACATACCTCGGAAACAAAATTCAATGGAATCGATAGCTCCGAATTTTTTTCAGAGACGCGCCATGGAGCCGAATTTCTCACACTAATGCCAGAGTTTTTCTCAGCAAAAATGTTCAACATGCGTCTTGAGCACAAAAATAAAAAAATAAGTAGACCAAGCTCCTGGTGTGGAATATTTTGGAAACCAGTAGTGTAACCACGTGGTAAAGACCGTGCATGCGATCTGTTCTGTCTACATAAAGCACAAACCCATCGGAAATCGTTCTCCGTGCTATTTTTTTTCTTCAAATAAACAGTCGTAAGAATGCTTACTTCTTCCATTGCGTTGTAAAGCAGAAAAGTCAACAAATTTTATCAACACTCGAGTGCTGGCTTGTAACCAAACCAAAACCACTTGAAATGTGCTTCTGGCAATGATATTAAGCAGAAATACACAATCAATATCGATCACAATGTCGTCGCCCAGCATTCCGATTCTTCTCAGTCTGTATCAGTGCACAGTGGTCCAGGAATGGAAATAAGGAGGAAAAAATAGGCCGCATCGTGCTCTCTTGCCGTTGCTTTTTACTGAAGGAAGTGTTATTGCTACCTAAAGCTACACAAAATTTAAACAGCACTTTCCAGTGCTCAATATTACCAGCAAAATGTCTGCCTTGTTTGACTTTTATTCCTCTTCGATCCTAGTTTAAACCATACCTGGGGTAATCTTGCTTGGATATCGATTTGAAACCTCCTAGATCCTTCAGATTCTTGGAAGTCAATTTGGAAAAACGTTTTACTGCCACCATGGTGCCTATAAGCAAAAGAAAAGGGCAATCTCTTGATCTCCCTTCTGATTAAATCTATTTGAGCAATCAATTTAATATACTCACGGATGATGAGAATGATCTAATCAACTTTCCTGGCTTAATTCCAAGAAGAAAAAGATTCCTCTTATTTTTATCCACTTCCGATTTGCGTGCTCTTCTCATGAAACTTTTGAACTTCATTAAATTTAAGTTTTCACTTCAAATTGGTTGTCGGGGTGAATGCCGTGCATTGGCTGAAACCTTCGACGGACTCAAACGTCTTCTCAAGTATCTTACTGAGCAGCAGCACATTTAAGCAAATCTTCCGGCCATTTTCCACAGAGATGGCGTTGTTCCGCTGGTAGGAAGTGATAAAAATCCCCATATAGAATTTGAGAGAAGTGGGAATAATTCGCTTTCGGTGCATATTCAGGTCAAAAAAGTGAACGACAACCTAAAGAAACTTTGGGACTCTGTCGTTCAGTTTTTTCCCGGAAATTATTGTTATACTAGCTACAAATAAATAAAAATGATTTTTCCCAATACAGTTTTACCTGATTTACTACCAGTTCCCAGAGAACCAAAAAATTCAAATTTTAGAGAGAAAATTTGCTTTCACTAGTTCAATTTCTCAACATGCCATGTATTTTGATGACACTCTATTTGGGATTTTCCTCTCACAGACTACAAAATAGAGTAACTGACACTGCAAAATATGTCTGGTACCTCTATATATGCATTTTGATTAACATCCGAAGTCCTTCCTTTTTTACATATTCTGCCGTGTCTGCCCAGCCTTGTTCATATAAATCGGCAGGAAATTCTGTGATGGGTGAGCTATTTTGTGTGCAGAATGTGTAAAAAAAGGGACTTTGGATGTTAATCTACAGTATGCAAAACAAGTTTATCCACCCCCCTACCAATTTACAACTTTTTTGTTTTTTCCTGGTGAAAATCAGTTTAATTTTATGGAGGAACACATGATTTTCCAATTTTTGTTTATTTATCACATTGTCATTTTCTTGAGATTTCATGTGATAAATTATGAAAAAGGGTAACAAATTACGCAACAAAAGTTTATCCACCCCCAAACGGAACTTTCTCGAATGTAAACATTGTGTCTAGCTGTCATGTAGTGCTCTTGAAGTTTTCGTGCTCAAAATTTCATATTCGTGTTCAAAATTGGAAGTTGTTTGTTGTAAAATGCCCAAAAAAGCACAAATTTCGATCAGTATCCGAATTTGATTATTGAGCATCACAAAACTGGCAAAAACTACCGTGATATTGCCGATATTGTCCAGCTTCACAAAGATACGGTCGCTAGAATTGTGCAGATGTACAAAAAGCGTGGTTCTATCTCACCAGCTAAGCGATCGGGGCGTCCTTCAAAGACAACTGGCTGAATTGACAGAGCTATCGTGAAGAAGGCAGAGCTGGACCGGGGACTATCAGCTCAGAAAATTGCGAAACAGATTGAAAGCGAATTTTCCATTCAACTGACATCACAATTCGTACGAAATCGACTTCATAATAAAGGTCAATATTCGCTGCATACAGCTGAAAGTACAGTCGCATCCAGCTTAACCGGCTAAGATGGAACGGGTTTGTGGTAAATGTTGCAAAGAAGTTCGTGACATCGAACCAGCGCAATGTGCTTTTTGCGCAGCATTTTTTCATGTCAAGCCTGAATGCTCGGACGTTAGCCGCAGTCTTTTGGCTATGTACATCATGCAGAGTTGTCCTAGGAAATCGCTATCTACGCGATTTGATTTTGACCTCCCTACGTGATCAGTCGAAGGAAATAGCAGAACTTCGTGAGCAAGTAGAGCTGCTATCGAATTTGGTTCACGATTTGCAAGGCACTATCACCTCGACTGTTACTAGTTGCGAAGATGCAATCGTATCCGAGATACGTGAAGGGACGTCAAAAGGCGAAAAATCAAAACAGAATTCTGTTAGTACCTGTCCTGCGCTGACTACGGACACCAACAAAAACAACAACAACAACAAAAACAAAAACAACAACAACAGCAGCAGCCACAAGCCCCAGTCAAGGAGCAAGGAGTGGATCAATTTGGTGAAACCACTTATTGGAGGTACAAGATCTGTGGAAGGTGGTGACATAATCGTTGCTCCACCCACGTCCAAGGATGTATTCTGGATCTACCTCTCGTATTTCCATCCGTCCGTGAAAGCTGACACCGTTTCCAAGCTCGCAAAGTAAGCTTTGGATTGCAATGATGCTGTGAAAGTAGTTCCGTTAGTGAAAAATGGCGCAGACTTAAATTCATTCAACTATATTTCATTCAAAGTTGGCATCAATTTTGAACATCGGGAAGCCGCCCTTAATCCTGACTCGTGGCCGGAAAGAATCCTGTTCAGGGAGTTCGTAGACAATCGTGCAAAAAACGCGCAGGTGCCCGCATCTCCAGAATCATCGAATGGGTCAGATACAGATACTCCTTAAGTTCACGCTGTTTCTTCGCTTCCGGGATGAATCGTAGAAGATACTATGGAAGACCCTGATCCACCACAGTCGCGCCAATCGCTTGTTCCAGCCATCGGAGTCATCCCGGCCCTAAGTGTGGAATTGTGAAAGAGGTCTTCCAGACTTCAATACTAGGCAAGTACTCGCAAAATTCACTCAACCACGTCTCTCCTGATGATATTTCCCTTACCGGTGCTTCTACACCAGCCAATGTGGTCGCTCTGGTTGCACCTGAACGCATTTCAGAAAGTACCACCAACCGGTGAACACTCGTGTTTATTTCAGTTACCGGGGGACGTAATTTGTGATTAGCCCGGTCCCTTTCAAATTGTATCATTATTTATGTACGGTCCTTATATTTGAAATGACGTTTCACATTCATCTAGTGATGGCCGGTTTTCATTTGAATAATCGATTAATCGATTAACGAACCGAAAAGAAAAATATTTGTAATCCGTTATATCATGTCGATATAAGCATTAACATCTCCAGAAGATCATCACCGATCGTTTCAAACATGTGATGCACTCTCATTGGTGGAAAAATGGCAGCACAACGAACAAAAAAAAATCGAATAGTTGTTAATCGAGTAATTAAAAGATGGGACATCTCTGATTTTAGTGTGATTGTTTTGATCAAAATGAGCGCAAATTTTCATCTCTACCGAGGGAGCAGCAAAACCACAAAATTACCTTGCATACGGGGGGTATTCATTTAATGAAAGGGACCGCGAAAGAGGACACTCAAATAGAAAGTTTTTCTTCCGACAGTTTCATCTTAGTATTCATCTTTGGTACCACGCTGGTCCCTATGCCACTGAACTCTGCCGCGCCGGTTCGTGTTGTATGTAGTTACAGTCTTCTTGATCCGGCAGTCGAAAGTGAATTTCCGGGACGCACGTTAGGAAGCAACATGGAAGCCTCTAATTCACCTAGCACAGTCGAGCCGTTTCCTCATCAATGCAGTCCAAGTCGTCGTGGCCCTGTGTCTGGAGTGGGAGAAGAGGTCTTCCAGCTTGCTCATAAAGGCAAGTATCAATGTAATAATGTGTGTTCCCTGCCTGAAGATGTTTCGCCCCACAGTTGGACTATTTGTTATGCCACTGCGCACTGTTCCTGTCACATTGAACTTCATTCTGAACACGCTGAAGATGCTTCAAACACTGGATTCTCAGGACGCGTCGTGGAAAGCACTTTGGAAGCCTTTGATCTCTCCGACCCGGTCCTGCATACCGCTGCCTGCGCTCTTCACAGTCGTCCCAGACCCGTTGTTGGATGTAGAGAGAGGGTCTTCCAAGCTGCTCTAGTAGGCAAGTACCACGTTAATGTTGGATTGCCTCTTCCTGATGTCTGTTCGAATTCCAGTGGTATTGTATGCAGCTCTTCACCTTCCACCACGGCTCCTTCGGCCGACAACGCATCTGTTGCTAATAGCGCTGTAAACGTAGCTCAT